CCCACCAGAAATCCCGGCCCCACCCCCCCCCCCCAATTTAGATGTATAAAACAGATATTCCTGAAAACATCACCACTTACTTTTAGTAGAGGATAATCCTCCACCAGGAGAGGTAATCGAGCAGTGATGTATTTATCTACAGGGAAGGTCTCCTATTTATTTAAATAATGCAGGCTGTGTGCTGGAATTAACTGAATAATTACTTCCAGGTGTGGTGCAACTATTACTAAGGCACATGTGTGTATATATATATATGAAGCAATATGGTGCAGGAAAAGCATGCAGAAAAAACTACTTGAGATCTGAAGTTCTTTCTTAATTTACTTTCTGTGCCATCAGTGAGCTTTTACCCACATCTCTCCAATGAGGACAGAGAGGGAGGACAGCCTGCCTTAGACCTTTTCTAGTAAACTATTCAATGGTCCCCATCTTGTTTGGTCACTGGAATGGAACTGGCACATGGTCCTCCTTGGCTTGGCTGAGTGACAATATCTTTTGTGTTTATAGGGTGTTTATCTCTTGCTTATCCGATCAGATGGTGACTTATGTCTAATTAACCTTCGTTTTTTTTTGGGGGGGGTTTAAGCCTTCTTCAATCAGGTGGTGAATTTTGGATACAACATTGGGGACATTCCATTTGCATAATATCCTGGATTATCATCTGGTTGCCTCTCATGAGCTTTGCATTTAATGAAATATTCCAAACACTTCTTAGTAAACAATTTTGTTAATATCCACCTTTAGATAGACCTTGCAAGAGGGTTGTCCAGAAATTCATGGAAAAGGAAATGTCTATGTTACAATTCAAAAAGAAAATAAATATGCATGTCCATGTTTTCATATGTACTTTCCTCAAATACATATTTTCTGCTCTTGAAGAACGTATTCCTATTTAAAACTGACTATGCAGATTTTTTTTGTCTTTTTTTTTTTTTTTTTAGCATGTCAATTTTTTATTGATCAAAGGGTAGTACAAACATGTCCAAGCTTGGCACAGGTATCGGTATACAGATCGTACCTGTGAAATACAGACAATTAATTTTACCGGTTGAGATATAATAGGAAAAATTAAACAACCATAATAAACAATAACATTCAGGTGAGATTGCGTGACAATAATGTTACATCTCTAGGGAGAAAACCATAAGTATAATATAATACAGTGTGTATAACACAACCTCATCGCTATAAAGGTGATCGTAGGATGTTTCAGTGTGATCATACACCTCAGACCTTTTAGGGTGGTAAGATAAGTATATATATATGGATGGGATCATGAGTGAATCAAAGGACGTCTAGAGGGCCCAGGGAATTAGTAAGTTTCGCTTCGAGGTACCATTTGGAAAATCGAAAGATGGACATCAAGTCTTTCAACTGTTGTAGCGGTAATTCAGCTGCCACAAAAGATGTCCAAGAGTCGAAGAATCTGTTGGTACGTAGTTGATTGAATTTAGTGTCTAATTTGCCTGGGAGCATTAAGCGGAAAGGCAGGGATCGGAAGGTATCCATGGAGTTGTCATTTTTAAATTAAGGGAAAATGGGTGGCTGGAGACTTTGAATACTATCATCCCATAATATACAACATTATTAGGAAAAAACAGTGTGGTAGTGGTAAACCACTTATGTATACATACCCTCACTATGTTTAAAGCCCACCTTCACCCAAGATGTTTTTATTTATTATTTGTGTATAGAGTATAGAAGGGTTTCGTAGTTATATCCTCTAACAAGATTAATGATTGTGTGTGTCCCCAATAGGAAAAACCTCCCTTCTACCTGTCCAAGTGACACCCAATAGAATGTGACAGAGCATCATCAGGATAAGAATGTATTAGAACTGTTTGATTAATTGAACCAGGTGCAGCTGGCTACTTCTGCCATATTAGGTATTAGTTAAAGTGTATTAGTTTCAAGGTGCCCACACACCTTGCGATAATCGTACGATAATCGCGGGAAATCCCGCGATCGTACGATTATCGTAAGGTGTGTGGAAGCCGTGCGACCTCTACTACTGTAAGGTCGCACGACTTTTATCATAGGAAGGCTGGTCACACACCTTACAACCATCGCAAGACTTTTGTAAGGTAATTTAAAAAACAAACGATCTGCCTATCTTTGACAGGCAGATCGTACTTGCGATCTCAAGCCGCGCCCCCCTGAGGGGCGGGCTTACGATTACCGCAATGCCGAACGGCCCGTCCGGCTTTTATCTTACGAACATGCTACACACCCGCCGAACATCGTACGATGCTCGGCAGGTTTTCGAACATGTTCCTAAGATAAAAGTCGTGCGACCTTACAGTAGTAGAGGTCGCACGGCTTCCACACACCTTACGATAGTCGTACGATTGCGGGATTTCCCGCAATTATCGTACGATTATCGGAAGGTGTGTGGGGACCTTAACATGTTCCAAAACCCGCCGAGCATCGTATAATGTTCGGCGGGTGTGTGGCATGTTCGTAAGATAAAAGCCGGGCGGGCCGGTGTGCGCAAGCGCACACTGCCTGTTCGGCATTGCGGTCATCGGAAGCCCGCACCTCACCTTGCGATGGTTGTAAGGTGTGTGCCCAGCCTTACATATAGTAGGAAATGGTGAAGACGCTTAAACACTTTTCTTTTTTGTTGTCTGTGTCCTGTTGGGAGATTCCCTCTCAAGTTGTGAGTTGTGTAAGTTGTGGAAATACAACTTACTCAAATCTCTCCAAAGCGAGAGGAAATCTCTCTTGGATGTCACCAGGTTCCCCTGTGACAGTTTGTAAATATTCGGATTTGTCATCACTTTTTGTCCAGGTGACAAAGGTCACCATGGTAAATAGAGAGGCCCCAGTGGCCACACAATACAGCAATTAAAATCTGACAGAAGTTCTGACCCTTGCCCACTCCATCCAGTACTAAAAAATGTTTTGGGTGGAGATATCCTTTAAGCTAATCTAAAATGGCTAACACAAAAAAGATAAGCAATCATTTTACCAGTAACAAGAGACTGCGATTCGCTTAACAAATACAGGTAAAAATGTTTTTACACTTTTCAATGTGTGTCTTTAGTAATACGCTCTTTGTTGATGAGAACCTTTGTATACATATTGCTAAAATGTATTATGTTTATATTTTATAATTTATTTGCAACTTTCTTTTCTTTCAGAATGTGACAGCACGTGTAAATCTTGCCATTCATTTAAGACTTGTGACGAATGTAAAGATGGCTTAGTTAAAAACAGCCAAGGCCACTGTGTGTCATATAAGGAGTGTGACATCCATGAATATAAGGATGAACATAAAGGCTGCCTCCCTTGTCACAGGAAATGCTCACGGTGTGCCGGAGCCAGCGAACACCAATGTTTAAGCTGCAAAGACAGCTACTACCTTCTCAGTGAGTATGGAAGGAAGCCATATGACTGTTGGGAGCTTTTACAAAGGAATACTGAGGTCAAACAATTTCATATGTTTTATACAACATTTGCACTGTGTTTGTATGCGAAACAATGGCAGCAGATAATAACATGACATCGCAGTAAGAATAACATGACAACACAGTAAGAGAAAATCAGAACAGGAGAAAGAGAGAAGGAAAGGGAAAGCAGGGTTAGTGGAGGAAATATTAGTTGCTGATTCCATCAACTGTAATTAACCTGTCCAGCAAAAACTGTTGATAATAAAGACATTTTTCTGACCCTTGTTAGGAGGTAAAGCTTCCTGTGCATAATTATACCTGAGATATTTACTGTGTGTCTGCCTCATAGAAGCTATGTGAAGTCTTCAGAGCAGTACCTCATGGGCAATATGGTCTCCATTTAGTTCAGTGGAAGGCCAGTCCACAGCCTGGTGGGCTGACAGAACAGAATGCACAGAGTACTGGTCACTGTCACTGCAGTGGATTAGGAAGCTACAGGCAGGATAAGCATGAGAACACTTCCCCATGCTTTCCCCCTTGTTGATCATGTAACACCAGATGTCCATGTACAGGTCACACATAACAAAGTGACCCTTTCCAAGCCTATATCTTACGAACATGCTACACACCCGCCGAACATCGTACGATGCTCGGCAGGTTTTCGAACATGTTCCTAAGATAAAAGTCGTGCGACCTTACAGTAGTAGAGGTCGCACGGCTTCCACACACCTTACGATAGTCGTACGATTGCGGGATTTCCCGCAATTATCGTACGATTATCGGAAGGTGTGTGGGGACCTTAACATGTTCCAAAACCCGCCGAGCATCGTATAATGTTCGGCGGGTGTGTGGCATGTTCGTAAGATAAAAGCCGGGCGGGCCGGTGTGCGCAAGCGCACACTGCCTGTTCGGCATTGCGGTCATCGGAAGCCCGCACCTCACCTTGCGATGGTTGTAAGGTGTGTGCCCAGCCTTACATATAGTAGGAAATGGTGAAGACGCTTAAACACTTTTCTTTTTTGTTGTCTGTGTCCTGTTGGGAGATTCCCTCTCAAGTTGTGAGTTGTGTAAGTTGTGGAAATACAACTTACTCAAATCTCTCCAAAGCGAGAGGAAATCTCTCTTGGATGTCACCAGGTTCCCCTGTGACAGTTTGTAAATATTCGGATTTGTCATCACTTTTTGTCCAGGTGACAAAGGTCACCATGGTAAATAGAGAGGCCCCAGTGGCCACACAAGACAGCAATTAAAATCTGACAGAAGTTCTGACCCTTGCCCACTCCATCCAGTACTAAAAAATGTTTTGGGTGGAGATATCCTTTAAGCTAATCTAAAATGGCTAACACAAAAAAGATAAGCAATCATTTTACCAGTAACAAGAGACTGCGATTCGCTTAACAAATACAGGTAAAAATGTTTTTACACTTTTCAATGTGTGTCTTTAGTAATACGCTCTTTGTTGATGAGAACCTTTGTATACATATTGCTAAAATGTATTATGTTTATATTTTATAATTTATTTGCAACTTTCTTTTCTTTCAGAATGTGACAGCACGTGTAAATCTTGCCATTCATTTAAGACTTGTGACGAATGTAAAGATGGCTTAGTTAAAAACAGCCAAGGCCACTGTGTGTCATATAAGGAGTGTGACATCCATGAATATAAGGATGAACATAAAGGCTGCCTCCCTTGTCACAGGAAATGCTCACGGTGTGCCGGAGCCAGCGAACACCAATGTTTAAGCTGCAAAGACAGCTACTACCTTCTCAGTGAGTATGGAAGGAAGCCATATGACTGTTGGGAGCTTTTACAAAGGAATACTGAGGTCAAACAATTTCATATGTTTTATACAACATTTGCACTGTGTTTGTATGCGAAACAATGGCAGCAGATAATAACATGACATCGCAGTAAGAATAACATGACAACACAGTAAGAGAAAATCAGAACAGGAGAAAGAGAGAAGGAAAGGGAAAGCAGGGTTAGTGGAGGAAATATTAGTTGCTGATTCCATCAACTGTAATTAACCTGTCCAGCAAAAACTGTTGATAATAAAGACATTTTTCTGACCCTTGTTAGGAGGTAAAGCTTCCTGTGCATAATTATACCTGAGATATTTACTGTGTGTCTGCCTCATAGAAGCTATGTGAAGTCTTCAGAGCAGTACCTCATGGGCAATATGGTCTCCATTTAGTTCAGTGGAAGGCCAGTCCACAGCCTGGTGGGCTGACAGAACAGAATGCACAGAGTACTGGTCACTGTCACTGCAGTGGATTAGGAAGCTACAGGCAGGATAAGCATGAGAACACTTCCCCATGCTTTCCCCCTTGTTGATCATGTAACACCAGATGTCCATGTACAGGTCACACATAACAAAGTGACCCTTTCCAAGCCTCTGTTTTCCCCACACAGCTTGCAAAGGATGGCATACAGACAGCACCTCCACTTGGCATGTTGTGCTTTGTTTTAATTTTTGTCTTCATTTAAATGTTATACAATAAATGTTAATGTGGAGCCAGTAGAGGGGAGGCCCCTGGGCACAGATGCAGCTCTTTTTTCTTCCACTGGAGTGTTGTATATGTAGAAACATACATTTTTGCATCTGATTTCTGTGCACTGTTAACTTTTCAGATTCTACGTGTGTGAGTAAATGTCCTGATGGCCACTACCAAGAAGATGAAGAAAAGCGATGTGTTCCCTGCCACAGTACCTGTAAGACTTGCAGTGGAAGACGAAGCAGCCAATGCCTGTCCTGTAAAGAGGAATGGTACTCTCTGGGTCATAGCTGTGTACAACACTGCATCTCAGGGTAAGCAATAGTAAACAAATCAGTAGATGAGTACTTATCAGTGCATTATTCTGGCAACAGCTTGGTCCGTAAACACATAATGCTGACTAATCATGAACACTGAAATAATAGCAAAGTTGTGAGCATGATTAATTTCTCATCTAGAATAGTTGGTTTCCATTTTTTAACTTTTTATAGTGGGCCAAACAAAACCACCGTGTATGTTTTTCATAGAGGTTACATTTATTCAAATGTTTTTGGTCTGAGCATATACTGTATGTCATGAATGGTATTTTTGTCATGGGCAGCAGAGAAAGCTGGCTGTTTTTTCTTTCTTTCTTTTTTTTTGTTTGTTACTGGAGACCATTTAGCAGAGGAACCTGGTCCCAAGAAGGCCTTTACTAAGGTGCAGGCTCTGAAAGTGCGTGGTCTTCATCAGTGCTGCTGATAGATGGATTTAAATGTAGAGAAGCTCCCAGACAGTAGCCCTTGGGATTGTCTCAATATTGATATGAAGAACGTTTCCCATGAGCAACAGGATAAAGGAAGCAGGTTCAGATATACACATATAGAAAAACACCACAAGGTCATAATGAAAAATCACAAATGCTTATCCAGACAAAGGCATGAGAAGACTGGGCTATTTGTGCTAGCACCTTTTTTTTCTTACTCTTCAAGATTTTTCTTCTTCAGTCAAGACTCTTCTCTATATTGCTGCTAGAGCTTGTCATTGCAGCTATCCTGCGCAGCCATCCTCAGCCTGGATTTTGGAGTTACGTGACTGGACCCCACTGGGGGATAGCCTGGAACTGACCTTCGGGCACTGGGTTCCATGTAGGGTGCTTTTCAGATTCTGTTTTGGTAAAAAGTTAGCCACATAGTGCTTTTCAGGTCCATAGTCACTTTCATTGTCTCACTGCTTGCCCTGTCTCTGAAGACTCACTTAGTGAGTAGACTATTCAGACTGAGCACTGAGGGCTATCTCTATTATATAGGATGCTGGACAACTTTAAAATTCCCTGTTTCCCACTTGATTATCGGCAAAAGGTGTTTGTGTTGTAGAACTGAGCACTGACATCATAGGATAGGTGGAATGTCATGCATTTTTTTTTCTGCCATGCATGACTGGGGAAGCATCTCCCCGCTGCTGCTCCTACTTCCAAACAGCCACATGGAAATTCGATCCATTCCTGCTGCATTTCTACAGTGACTTTGGTAACCTCCAGACATCCAACCCTCACCTGCAACCAGCTTGTCTAGGTTTTATGAGTATCTGAGGCCATGCCTCTTACTCTGATGCTTACATTGCCTTACTGCCATGTAGTCACAATTGATTTTAGACATGGGAGGGGACAGTCCTGATGTAAAGGTTGCCCCCAGCTCACATTATACTAATGGCTTTGGGGCTAATTACAGCACACCTATTGATGGCCTGCAATCTTGTTGCCCTCTGCTCCTAAAATCTCTTCTATCATCGGTGTCCTCTTTAGCTCTGTCAGATGTGGCCGGTTTCTCTGCTCTTCTGGCTGAGGTTTTTACTAGTCATGCTAGACTTTATGGCCAAAATCACTCAGTTATTTTTGACTCAAAGACCAGAAGCATGATCCTTCTCCAAAAAGATTCTGTGTCTGATTTACCAATGGTCTTGGTTGCTTCTGAGCCATCAGCCACTGAGATTCTGTCTGATTCTGAGTCACTCCAGTGTTTGACTGCTGAGCTTGCCTCTGAGAAGTATTAATCCCACGTTAAAATAGAGCAGTTTTGCACAGGCCCCACCCCTATGTGTTTATGGTCATGCTCTTGGCATGGCCAATTGAGCTTCACAGTTATCTGTTGATATTAGATGATCAGGATTACACACACATTGGGTACACATAAGTGCCTATCATGCAGTGTAAGTTATCTAATTATTATCTAATTCTTTCACACATAATTACACAAGTTTAATAAACCTGGAGAAAAAAATGGAGAGAAACAGTTTCATTTTATGGAAAAAGTAAAAAATTGGCTACAAAATTCAATAATTCCAAAAGTGTCTTTAGTTATAATAAAAAGACCATGCAGTGTTTTTTGGAAGATGGGCCTTGATGGAATATTCTGATGTAATAGATACTTACCTAGCCAGCAAACCTGTGTAGCATGCTGGAAGCTGGAATCCCCTCTCTTCTATTCCTGTCAGCGGTTAGTGTCATATTTTTTTTTTGTACAGGAAATGGCCCACTATGGCATAGTGGTGGGTAAATGATCAGCACGTCCAAGGTTTCCAGTGGGATAGATATTCGCCTTCTAGCAGACTGTCTGAATTTGTGAATAAACCTGTAATGAAAGAATATGAAAGCTGCCAATGCTGATATCCATTTTTTTTAAAAATGCTAGTTCCCTGGCTGCTCCAATATATTTAATACTTTCTGAGCTACAGAACTGGAAGAAGTATTCAGTTCAGGAGTTCTAATTTTACTCTGACTTTCTAAACTGCATACTTGTTGTGGGTGTTTCAGAAACTATTAAAGCCAGCCAAGCGACTATTATCTTTAGAAGAGGTTGGCAATGACAATCCTTATTTCTCTCACAGTATGACAGTGAACTCTAGACTATGCCTGTGTTATCCTTTGTGCTGGAAAATTCTCATTATCTCCTGCAACATTTCCAAGAATTAAACTCAACTGTTTTGAGCTTTGCCTCTTTTTTTATCTGATATATTTTCCTGTATACCTGTTACATGTAACTTTAAAAGTCTCCCAGAAGCAAAAGAATCATTAGAAATCCACCAGAGCTGCATTCGCCCATGGAAGCAAATGTCACTGTAGGCTATGCAGAATTTACATCTAGTGAATTTGGCACAACTTTTCCTTTGCAGTTGAAGTTAGATAAACAGACCCTGAAAATTCTAATTATTTCCACAGCTTCAGCACAAGGTGACCCTGTGCTCTGTCATGAAAAAACAAATTCTTGGAAGCATTACAAAACATCTTCACATTGGCTCAGATATCTGATATAGTTCTATGAATCATTTCTCCTGTGATTTCAGTTATTCTGGAACAGCATAAATTATTTAATTGAGAAACATTTGATATCAAACTAGAATAAAAATATGATGCTGCCCTTAAATAATAGGATAGTGGGGGTTGTTGTTTTCATTAAAATACAAGTGCAATTAATCTGCAGCTTACACAGATGTAGCTGTAAATCACAATATAATATGTGGAAGATGAAAGAACTGTTGCTCCTCCATCTTGTGTAGGGGAATAACAGTTCATACCCCTTCTCCTTATCTGTAAAATTGCAGTGCAGCTGCTTGCACCAGCCGCAACATAGCTATGGGGGTGTAGGTGGGGTTTAGCAAAAGGAGGATTTAGCACTAACGAAACACCAGCATATTATAAAATGTCTGGCAACATTTTATATGCATAGTAGAGGTGTATAGGTGTATAGCTTTGCCAACAAGATTAATGTATAGTAAGACACTCCTTGCATGTGACAGGAGCAGCCTTGTGTAGGTCTGGTTTAGAAGAATTGATGCTTCATAGGAGTCTGAATATGAATGAAGCCTGAATTTACGGAATAGACTGCTAACCCAAGGTTCTACATTAAATATTTCCATGATAAATATCTTAAATCCCTATGGTAGTGTTAGGGTTCTTCTTCCACCTCTTTAGCAGCACTGGGCAGTCCTCTCTCCTGCATAGACCAGCACACACATTATGACGCTTTCCATTGTGATCTCAGAGCTCAGGCTAAATGATGCAGTGTGTCATTGACAGTCTGGGTTCTCAGGAAGTGGATTTAATGATGCTGGGTGACATTCAACCCAGAGGACTACCGGCGCTGGACGACAAAGCAGGACATTGAGAGCAGCACTGGAGTGTGGAGAGAGTGATGATTTACTAACTTTTTGAATCAATGGGAAAGGGTGTGTACCCCCTCCCAAAAAATATATATATATATGAAATATATATCAGACGTTTAGATCTAGCCTTAGTGATAATCATTTCTTAGACCTGGTTATACAAACTTGTAATAAATCAGTCAGGAAAATATTACTTTGTGTTTCCAATTGCTTTCATCCATAGTTTGCTGGTAACTGCAAGGCTTGCCCGTTGCTTACGAATGAGTAGAAATAGTGAGAATAGTAACTGGAGGAGGAGGACATAGAAGAGATCCTCATCCTCTTCCGGTATGCTCTCCAAATAGAATTCTCTTAATGCATGAAAGAGTCCTAAAAAACACAGAAATATTTACTACATGAGAGCAAAAAAGTATTTTTGTAAAACAACCACTCAAACAACATACTGGAACTGGAAACCAGGGACTAAATGCAACTTCTGCTTTGGAGGTAGCAATACTAAGATCTGAGACATGTGTCCTACCAGGGTCTCACAGATACAGAAGAGCAGTACTGGTATTTAAGTACTGGAAGCTCCTTCCCCAGCTGAGCTCCCTAATTAATAGAGCCATATCTCCAGAGGAAGAATTACTAAAATTCAGCTTCCATTAGAAGAAATCACAATTGCTGCTTGAAACAATGATGAAAATTTGCATCAAGAGAGCAAAGATGGAGGACATACCACTGGTTTGGGCAGCAAGGAATAGAATGTGTGATTCTTTTGCTGGCAAGGTGTTGCCAGTGGCAGAAATGACCATGTAACATGTCCATAAGAAGCTACAGAATTGCTCTCCTTTGTTTTTCTTTTTGGAAAATTGCTCTGCAGTCAAGGAAAGGCCTCTGTTGCAGTAATGTCATTGATATGTAGCTCTGTTGCTTCAATAGCTGCAACAGCTTCAATAGCTACTCTTGATATCCAGTACAGCTTCTGTTTAAGGCACACCAATGATGATTTGTAGTTGCATAGATAAATAGTTGAGTCAGCTAAAAACCAACCTTGTAACCAGTTATTAATCTGTCACAGAAAATAATTAGAGAAATCTGTAGCTGCTATAAACCTCTGCTGCAAAGTAGCTATTGTGACATAACAATCATGGCCCTATTGTGCTTAGCATGAAAACAGCACATAAATTAGAGTTCCTTCTTCTCAGCAATATCCCCATGTCCAGCCAGATTATTACTAAAGTAGGTTAAGTCCTGTTTGGTTGGCACTTGGCAGGTTATTTAACTTCAAGCTACAGTTATGGGCTGAATGGTGCCCAAAGTTTGTTCCTCTGCTCCTTATGCTGCTATAGGCAGCAGGTAGACAGAGAATCACTGCAGAGCACAGATGTCATAGGATTCTAGGATTTTTAGCAGATATAGGGAGGGGGGTGCATATAACATCAGCAGACCAGGTAGAGAGGACAAACATTAAGTGACCTCGGAGATTTGAGGATGACTTGACATACCAGGTGTATACTTTATGAACATATGAATGTATCTAGCTAATTTTCTCATAAATCACTGACATTTGTTTGAGTCACTGTTTTTTTATTTTTATTTTTTACTCTTTATATCTGATCATTGTCTTAGCTCGGCACATTTAGTTATTCAGCTAATTTTCTCGCCTAATCGATTTTATACACCTGCATTCCCAAATGTTCCTGTTGGCTAACATTGCATTTGTCTTTACCTTTTGGCCTGCAGATATTATGCTGATAACACTACTGCCTCGTGTGAGAGATGTCACAGAGTCTGCAAGGAATGCCAAGGACCAGACTCAAATGACTGCCTTGCCTGCTTTGATAAGTTTTTCCTGATGAAAACCAAAAACCAATGTTACAGTTCATGTCCTGAATACTACTTTGAAGACCATGCCCAAAAAGCTTGTGAAAGGTGCCACCCAACCTGCAGGATGTGTAGAGGTAAGAGGTGCCTTCTAAACTGCTCTAATACAGCAGTGATCAGTGGCAGAAAAGACATTTACTCTGGATTCCCTGGAATATTAGAAATGGTGTTTAGGTAGGCAATGTGCTTAAAATAGTTAATAATGATGTAGAGATGAATCGTCTAAACTAGTGGTGCACCGAAATGGAAATTTCAAAAAAATATTAAATATTTGTATTTTTTTACTTTACTTTTAGGGGCTTCAGACCCCTGATATTTCCCTTTTAAAATAGAAAAAGAGAGTCCTCAATCTCTTTTTCTGTATCCCCTATTATCAATGAACAGGAAGACTCTATACTGATTCTTCCTGTTCATTCATAATTTGAAGATAGTATGTTTACTATAACCAGAATCATGAATCAACAGGAGGTGATGTAGATCACTTCCCATTCATTCATAATTGAGGCTATAGTAACCATACTATCTCCTCAATTATGTACACTCAGCGATCACTGATCGCTGGATGTTTGTACCGCTCTCCACCCTGACAGCTGTCACAGGAGGCTGGGTGGGGCGGGGCGGTGCAGCCTCCTGTGACAGCGTGTGCTATCTCCACTCTGCCGGACTGTGATAGGAGGCTGAGCGGTGTGGGAAGAGAGACGCCGGCCGCTCAAAGCGCTCTCCTCCCGCAGTGCTTAGCCGCCTTTGACACTTTCTCTTCTCCCCACTGGGACACAGAGCATCACCCAGCGGGGAGGAAAGAAAGCAGGGATGCGCCGATGTATCGGCAGAAAAATGGCACCTTCTGCATTTAGCCAAAAGTGCCATTTTGCCCGATATGTTTCGGCGGCCAAATTATCGGTGCATCCCTAGTCTAAACTATGGATAACTATAGAGCAGCTATTTTCACCAATCCCGTTGCTTTATCTTCCATGGTTGTCTTCTCCATGCCTCCAGGCCCAGTTAACTCACTCCCTTATAGGCCCATCTTTGAAGGTATTTCAATCAATGCCATGTTTGATGGGCCCGAAACAGGGGGTTTCCAGGATGTCTCCTGTTTTGGATCATCCTGCTTTCCCTCTGCGTAAAGGAGATAGACACTTAGAGATAAAGGGGCTTGGGGAAATGCCGATTAGACGTTTTTTTGATTGGTAATCGCATTTGCTCACAAGGCGATTTAGCTACATTACTCAAACCTCCCTTGGATCCATGACGATCGATACAACTTCGCCACTTTCTGGTGAGCTTAGTCCCTGGCCCGACCTCCATCTCTCCACTCACACTGTTTCACCATCTATGTCTTGAGAAGGAACCCTCTAGACACTCCCTATCCATGACATACAATTATATGTCCCACCGAATCCTTTGTGCCTCAATTTCTCCTTAAGTGGGAGCGGGACCTTCAGTTGTCTTTGTCTGCGGAACGAGAAGACGTCGTATACTTCTCTCACAAAGCCTCCGTTGCATGTAAGATGCAGGAAGCTAACTATAAATTATTGACATGCTGGTACAGGCAGGGCCGTCTTTAATACTGATTGAACCCTGGGCAAACAATTTATTGCCCCTCCCCGACATGGTGCGCCCGCACCGGCAGTAGTTCCGCCACTGCTTATGTGGGCTGAAGGGGCAGCTGCTTTGGGCCCCACAACAATGATTGGGCCCTGGGCGACTGCCCCTTTTGCCCTGCGTTATAGACGGCCCTGGGTACAGGGTTCCCTCCATTCTCCATAAAATCCATAAAGTAGCTTATTACCCAAATGCATGTGAGCAAAAATACGTTCAAATAGTAAACACAGTAAACAAAAATAAACAGAAAACACAGTAATAAACCACATGCAAAATCAAGTCTTTCCTAATATAATATAGGATAACATAATATAGTCCCATGTGAAAATGTCCCTATATCGTAAATCGTTACACTCAAAAATTTAAGTGAATTTGTGAACTTCCACCAAGATAAAATCCTCAATGGGAAAAAACTCTTAACCCTTATGGGCAGACACTCACCAAATGATATGTGACCTCTTAAAATAAGAAGGTCTTGGGCTCTAAGTTAGGGCCTCTGTTGCAGTAATTTCATTGATTTGTAGCTCTGTTGCTTAGGGTATGTCACCAGCTTCAATAGCTACTCTTGATATCCAGTACAGCTACTGATCAAGGCACACTAATGATTTGTAGTTGCATAGATAAGTAGTTGACCAAACCAAAACCAATCTTGTAACCAGCTATGAATCTGGTAAGAGGTACACCAGATTTATTGCTGGGTACAAGGTTGTTTTTCCACCAAGATGAAATCCTCAATGGGAAAACATTTCTAACTCTTAAGGGCAGACACTCACCATATTACTCCACACCCATCCAATGAGGAAAAAGTGAAGGAAAGATCTCATAGTGTAAAATACCCTTTATTAAATGAGCAAATAAAAACAACCCATATACTCACAAAGAGATCAATATGCACCCGTATTGAAGTAATACACCAAAACAATCTGGGGGGAATATATTAAAAAAAATCTGGTGCAATTGCCATGGCAACCAATCACCTTCACTCTTCAGTTTGTTCAGTTAAGCTTTAAAAATGAAAGATAGAAGCTGATGTTACTATTTACAACTGCTCCAGTTTTGATAAATTCCCCTCTCTGAGTCTTCCCAAACAGCGCATCTGCTGCTCATCTATACGTGACAGTGCTCAGACCTGCCCAACACTTTTTGTCAATAGCGACATCATCAGGAACGCTGTGAGCACTATCCATCCTTCGCTATACAGATACTCTCCTCGGATCCTCCCATGGAACACATTTATCCTACTCCACCCACTGCACATCTCCTTAAGAACATTAACCCTGCTCCACCCGCTACACATACAGTATCTTATACAATATAGGCCACAGCTGTAAAAATCACACAATATAAACACAACATATAAAATTACAAAACGTGCATATATAGAACTCAGTATATGCTAATATCTTCCATATACACATATGGACGGCCATATCTATGGATATGGAAGGTTACATTTGATATTATGGCACTACAATACAGAGCTTCTGATGCCATTTGAATTAATGAAGGAATAAGATGCATATGGTTCCCTGGGAAACACAATAATAATGTGTAATATTTGGATTGCACTTTCCTGAAAGATCCTGGAGGATTACTGTGAGTCCCTTGAAATATTGCATTCCCCACAGAGAAAGGTTGGATATCTAACCTATTTGCACCTATAGTAGGTGATGTGAAAATTCATCATATAAGTTTCAGATTGCTTGGATACAGCATACGGGATATACAGAGAGGAACTACGAATACAATGTCGTTTCATCATTAATAGTGTTCTTATAGATATCTGATCTAGGAGTTCATGAAGGAACGTTGATCATAAACAAATGCACATACAAACAGCATATGCACAAACAATTTGATGATTACTAAGAGTTAATGTGTCTATAACAAACAAAAATAATGCGACATTAGGCTTTTGCTCTATTTTAAATGATTTTATGATGTTGGTTCTGTATATGTATATGTGTTTTGAAATACAATAAATTAGTAGAAGACTATAAGATATGTATCGGGGTCATTGGTGGGTATCTAACCCTAATTGATAACATAGATGTCTAACCAGTGAAAAACTTTTTCTTGGATCCTATACATTTTTAGAAATGTGTATTTTTTATTTAAATCCAGGTTCAGGCGCCCTATCATGCACATCATGTGTGTCAAGTTACCAGCTGCAAGGGGGAATTTGTATATCGGAGTGTTTTGCTGGAGAATACAAGGGTACACAGGTATGCAGATTTTAGAAAACTACATCTACATTTTCTTAAAATTCCATTCACAACTGTATGTAGGTTCCATGTTTTTACTGTGTATGCTGGCTCATCAGAAGTGCAGTGTGATATTGTCACATCATAATGCAGCATCTAATTTATAAAATGAAACATTCAATTTCAATCTGCATTTTAAAGGGACCAGATGGAGAGTGTGAAAAATGCCATGAAAGCTGTATAGAGTGTAAAGGACGTGGACCACTGAACTGTACTGTGTGCCCAGCAAGCTTTTTACTATATGTGAATGATGGGAGGTGTGTGCAATGCTGCCATTCCAAGCCCGAGGACTCCAGGGAATGCTGTGACTGCAGTGAAATACCAGGTAAAAAAAATATCAGCAATAGTAGTATTTAGTAGTATTTAGTATTCTCTCATACAATGGGGGAAGCCACTTAGATGGTACTTAGCTGATATTCAACATTTTAGAACAAGTCAAGTTCACTGACTACTACTAGTTATATCTAGTTCTGAAAACAGCTGTAATGTTGATCAATCCCAAACTTTTACTGAGTAGCAGCACTTGAATTTAAACTGGAGCCAGCAAATGATCATTTTATTGGGATGTTAAAAACAAATTTAAATAAAGTTAGAAATAAATTTAAAAATAAATACTTTACTTAAGCAAATTACCTCTCTATATAGCAGCACACATTAACCTTAAGAAGAAAGTCCTATGGAAGAGGGAGTGTGAGGCAAATGGGTGACACCATACCCCCAATCTACATTACAAACAAAAAAACAAAAAAGAAAGAATAGCTACAAATGAGACTGGGGCTTTAGAGGTTCCACGATAAGTACAATTTCATATTTGTTAATAAAAGCTCATTTCATTTATAACAATTATAAAATATGTTTAAAAACATATGGCCATAACAAGAAATTAGTTATGCATAACAGATGTGGGGTAGAGCAACCGTATACATATCTTGGACATAGTCCTCAGGCTTGAATGAGTAATGAATTTCAGTAGGCTCTATGCGTTTTGAAGATAGATGCTTCCTCAGGAGCCTTCAGTAGAGATCTATGGTTCAATAAATCATACATATCATACATATCCTCTATATAGATCAAAACATATAAAATTTTCTCAGACAGTATTTTCTATCAGTGTACAGCAATAGCATTATGAGGGTGTATATATAAGATATGCAACCAGATGAACAAGAGAGCTTAAATGGAACCATAGAAAATAGACAGTGTAATTATAAAAATTCTCCCAACTTGCTATGCAATCCAAAAAAAATGTCCATAAACGAAATCCAAATAGAGGGGAGGTCTATGGATGTAATAATTTACCCGTGTGTGGGCGTTCCAGGGAGAACAGGGACAGGTCCAAATCACGCAAGCAGTCAGGCTTTGTCTACATGTGTACCTGTATTCTATGTGCACATCGGCATAGAGATGATATTGGAAGCCATGTGAGGTGATCAGCTGGCGTCATGTCATATCACCTAGCAAATAAAATATGATCCATAATGTAAAGATCACTCACCACTCAAAAGTGGGCAAGGAAAAAACACCTGAGTTAACCGCAAATGGGGTCAAAGTTATCCACTCCTGGTATACAGGGAAAGATGATATCGGTCCAATATACTATTTGTCCACAGCATAAGCTCCCAGCATGAGACTACACATAGAGTCTGCCTGCAATCTTTCATATATGAAAAACAATGAGAGTTTCTTCAGGAAATTCTAAGTATAGGAATTTCTCTTGCTCAGATCACGATGCTGGTAATGGATTTTGGGGGGGGGGACCCACACGTTTCCTTTTTTTTTTTTCGACCTGTTTTTATTTTTTTTCAATTTTCACATTTGTCAAAATACTAAACTCCATCCAAATAGATTTGTATCGATCCGAATTCTGAATAACAAATATCAACGTATCTGAATCTGAGTCTAAATGAAAAAGAAACAACATTTTTGACCATGCACATGTCTACTTGTATATGTAAATGCAAATGGTGACTTTGTGCATAATGCAATTTATGCAGAAAGTCACCCAATATAACAAAAAAACTCTGCAGAGTATATTTTTGGAGATTACTCCAACCTAGAGAGGGCAGAAACAAAGACAGAGCAGAGATATTGATGGGGGTAACAAATCATCCAGATAGAGATAGGAACAAGAAGCAAGGACACGGATGTCACAGAATCAAATTCAGCCTAATTTGTAGTGCATACACAGGATGTAATACTCTTTACAGGTATGGATACCACACATTCTCAGTTTCATAGTCAATATAGATTTATATTTAGTGTGCTCTTGATTAGATCTGTAAGACTGCTATTTGTTCAAATTCTACATGTAGTACAAGCTATAATAACGTAGCCTTCCTATCAGTTTACACCAAATGTGAATCCCTGATCCTTTCATTCAAAAGAGACGATATGTTGGATTTAACTTCACCAGATCATCCTCCACCTCAGCAAACAAAATGAAGACTCAGCTGCATGTTATTGACCAATCACAGTTAACGGCACTGTGTGTGTGTATTTAACATGCACAGACTGCTCTTAGCTAAATTCATTAGATTTCTTCATGACATTATTGACATGTGATTTGTGACTGTATACTCATTTACATTCTGAATCACATGAATGAACAAATGAATAAAATGACCCCTAAAACATATTTTTTGGTCTACAATATTTAAATTATATTTAAATGATCTCAGAATGATTCTGAGATGATTTAGGAACAAATATTTATATTTGTTATTGGGCAATTATATAGGTTAAAGTAGATGGACCAGTATCTTTATTCAACCTTATCTACTATTTTACTATGTAATTACATACATTTCTATAATACATAAATGACATAAATTGTATACAAGAAAGTTTAGCTGAAAAAGTACACATGGATAATACACATTGCAGTGGGATGAAGCATTGTCTGTTGTCTACTTGTAATAAACCAAGTTATGTTTTCTGTGTTCTTCTAGAGGAATGCAAGTTAATAACCGAACTCTTGGTGGACAATGATGGACACAAGAAGACTGCTTTGTTTGTGGCCACATCTATTCTGGTGGTGCTTAGCATTGGCGCAATCATATTCTTTTGGCGCCGAGCCCGGGCAAAAGCTTCAACTGTCATCAAAGGTGGATATGAAAAGCTGCCGGACCAAACAAAATCCTTCCAATCTTTCAAGAGCAACAGAGAAAGTACCTCCAGTTTTCAGCGGGATCACGTGATTGAGTATCATGATCGCGAGGAGGAGGAAGATGATGATGATGATGACGAAGATATAGTTTACATGGGCCAAGATGGGACAGTATATCGCAAGTTTAAATATGGACTCTTAGAAGATGATGACGACGAGGACTTAGAATATGATGATGAAAGTTATTCATTTAGATAATTAATTGCAACACTCCACATAGAAGAAAAAAAAAAAAGAAAGAAAAAAAAAACCATGCAGCACTGGAGGCCTGTAGAGTGAAGTAGATGAAAAACAGTGTTGATACCCCAAGCACCAACCACATTTTGCTTACATTATATAACCAGAATAATGGAAGCGGGTTGCTATGGGTAACACCTTTGATTTTTCATAAACAAGTCCCAGTGTCTGTGACACAATCCCTTTCAATAAATGATATGAATGCAGTTTTTTTTACGGTGCCTTTTGTCCGTACTCTATGTAAGGTGACTTGTTTTCTTGAATGTGTTCTGCTTAGAACTGCCAGACTGATCGTGTGTGAAAAATTACATAAAAATGCTGCTTTCAGTGGAGTGTAAAATTTAAAATTATTATTTAAAATAAATAAATACTTTGACAAAATAAGCAGATCATCATACTGTATACAAACTTTATTTATTCCATTATTTTAATGGAAACAGATTTATCTATGTGTGTGTACATGCTTTTATCATGTTGTTTCTATTTCTTGTGTTTTTATTGTACATCTACATAGAGGCTGAAATACTGTATGTGTTCAAACATATACCAGATCCATGCTTCCAAGCACACAACATTTATCGTGTTATACTTCTCCTTTAACCCTAACTCATATCTGGATTTTCAATATAAATAATATACACTCGGGGGAGCTTACAGTACCCATTGACTTAAGAAGACTTTGCCTGAAAAGAAATGATTTAAAGCTGAACACCAGGATGAGCAAATATTGTCTAAACACAAGAGCCATGTGTATTCTTACTTGAATCCTTTTGTGCTTTGTGTATTTCTTCCAGATCTGAGCAGGAGTTCAGCATTTTTTGTATTGCTGAAATTGTCTGTAATAAAGACCAGTCACTGCTGCTCTTTCTCCTTGTGCAGGGTGCCTGGTCTTGTATCCGCCCCCTACCTGTAGTGTTCTGCAGGCAGCCTTTAGTGGGTGGAGCTTGCTGGGTCCCTCCCCCAGTTCTCTGCACAGGCTTTGTACAGTACAGGGATGATGCCACTGCTATTTTTATATCTGGGTTTGCAAAGGTATTTTGTGTAAACAAAGTGGATTTATATCCTCTGGGGCTATTAAGGAATACACTTAAATGAAGGTTATTTGCCCGGAGTTTCAGCTTTAATTTGGATGAAGTAACGATCAATGTCAATATGGCAGATCATGACAGACAACTGTACACATGCCCCCTTGCCATGAGAACATTAGTCAATCTTGGAGCAGAGAACTAGAAATGTGCACCTGTGTTTAGATGTTCCTGATTACACTGATTACACTGATTACACATTCCTGATGCACTTACAGGCTTTTACATGCGTTTAGAGTTTCTAATTGGATCTTGGACACACAGAATTCTATTTTCTCTAAACACAGCTAAAGCAAAGTCTGAATGATACCATTGAAAATCAATGACATGCATTTATATGCGTTTAGAAATGTGTTCTAAATGCATATAAACACAAGTTTGACACTGCCAGTGTGAATGAGACCTTACTCTTGAATTTAGGTCTACTTTAAAATGAACATCCCATATGGACAAGGCAGGTTCTGAGAAAGGAGGTTGTAAATGGGGTAGAATACATATCTTGATTTTTTTACGTATACCACAAAAACTGGTATGGTAGAAAATTATAAAAAAAAAAGGTACAGGCTAGAAAAAGAAGAGGCCAAAGTGACATTCAGCTCCAAACTCCAAACATACTGTACACCTAAGTCAAGTCGCCGGGAGTCTGTTTAAACAGCCCCGATGTTGGCGACGTACACTGTACGTCGTCAGTCACGAAGGGTTTATTATAGTACATTTGAAGGCACTTGACAATGTGATATGTCAGTCAGCATGTCCTGCACCAGACATTCCCACATAGATTAAATACATGAATAATCAACATACAAAACTAAAGCAGAATTAAAGTCTCTCTTTTTTGGCATATATCTACTGCTAGTAATTTGCCTACTTTTTTTATTTAAAAAAAATATAAATAACAAAGTAGGCAAATACCTAATTACATACCTGTTGCAGCGCCGCTCGCTCCCGGCTGAAGAACTGCCCCCCGAATGGCTGAGAAGGAGGAAGTGAGCAGGCTTATGCGCAGTAGATAATACCAAAGGGTAGAGGAAAAAAGTGACAATGAAACTGAATTGACACAGCCGGCAGCGCACATGCCAGACAGACTCCGTGGGACACAAGAAGTCTGCACTGGGATCAGAGCCTAGGCACCAGCGCTGGTGGGACTGTCGGAAACGAGTGGTAGTAAGATGATCGCATTAAGAAGCTTCAAATAAGGTAAGTGCTTACAGCAGCATTCGAGGGTTAGGAAATAGCCTTTAATGTATCTTTAGATTAATATTACGGAGATTATTAATATTACAAGTAATACTTTTCAGGAATCCTTATCTGGAGATTACTTCTACAGTGAGACATCTTACACTGTATGTAGAAAATACATTTGGTAGTTCAGCATTCTTGTCCTCATCCCATTAAGAAGCCTTGTATTGCTACAGATAGAATGAGCAGTGTTATAACTGACATACAGATGGCTAACCAACATTTTCCTACAGCAGGAGAATACCATAAAGAAAATTAATCAAATGTCTGCAAAGAGCAGGGCAGCGTTGCCCATAGGGAGGAAAACACCAAACAAGGCAGTCATAGAAGTAAATGGTGCAAATGGCCCAGGACAATGGCACACAGGGCTCATAATTGAAATAAAAAAACAAAACAAAGACATGTATACAAACAGATCTGCATACATGAAGATTTATCATTGTATGTCATGCTTTGTTGTTTTTTTTTAAACCAGTTAGTGATATGATGTTTATGTCCAAAACCGATATTTTATCTAATAAACTCTTTTTGTAATTGGAATACTTGTCCCGATCCTCTGTTAACTCTTTTTAAACCAGCCACTTTTGTTAGCTGGTTTATCTTTTTGGTATATATGGTGCTGCAGTACTAACCTGCTGTGTCATCTTCTCCGTCTGCTTCAGCCACTCCGTGTCACAGCCTAGTCATCTGCTCCATTCTGACCTCTTCTCCTTCTGATTGGCCGATTGGATGATGACAGGCTTCCTCACCAGTCACCTCCTGACTGGTGAGGAAGCCTGTCAATCATCCGATCAGCGGGAGAAGAGGTCAGAATGGAGCAGATGATTGAGGACTTGGAGGAGTTTGTGGCCATCTTGTTTCATTAAAGACGCTATGGAAGTCCTGTGATCGGCGGTTTCATAGTTACATAGTATTTGAGGTTGAATAAAGACATTAGTCCATCAAGCCCAACCTATTAGGATCTCATTCTAGGAGTACCTGTACCCCTGTATATTACAGTCCCTTAAGAAATCGTCCAGAAGTTTCTTGAACAATTCCACATTCTGTGCTGAAATCACTGTCTGTGGCAGTGAGTTCCAGACCCTAACTGATCTTACTGTTTCAGGTCCTTGAAGATGGGGGACACGGCACAGGTACTCGTTTTTTGTATCGGAGTATTTGTACGAGTACTCATGCCAATACTCGGTATTGCCGCCGATACCGATGCTTGTATCGGAGCATCCCTACATAATATTATAAACTGCTGTGTATGTGAGCACTGGGAGACACACTGATTAAAAAGGAGGCATGTAAAATAAAGAACACAAGCATCAATTATATTTCAGTAAAATAGCAATTTAATGGAAATCACAATCATCTGGTTTACTGAAACTAGAACATTTTCTTCGGTACTGTTTTGACAAATTTCAGCTTACAAATGCACATAAGGTTTGTTTGCAGTACAGCATATTGCTTGATGAAATATGGAAAGAAAAAAAAGCACTTAAAATTAAACTCCATCCTAACATTTTTTAGCAAAGGATGATGTGCTGAGCCTGTGCGTGAAACTCCTGCAGGCCTCCTTGGTGTACACTCCTGCCTGTTCAGACCTTCTGACTCATTGGAGAAACCTTTAATGTCAAGACAGGCAGCAGTGGTATGGGAAGGGAACTGCAACAGCTGGCTCCTCACATTGTACAGTGTCACAAACAGTCCCATCACTTCATCATCATTTTCAGGGTTATTCACAAAAGGGTGAAGAGTTTGGAGAAGGCAGGAGAAGTGAACAATCTAGGACAACATAGCTGAAGTGGAAACGATTCTCCAATTCAGCTCACTTTCCAGTTCAGCTATGTTGTCCTAGATTGTTCACTTCTCCTGCCTTCTCCAAACTCTTCACCCTTTTGTGAATAACCCTGTTAGTTTTAGACACATTACCCTTAAGAAAAAAAAAAAGGAAGTCAAATGAATGCGCAGTGCAGGACAGTGTTGCCAATAATGAGGAAACCCCCAATTCATGCAGACCCAGGATGTTGGGCTCAGAATAAAGTGCAGGGAAAAAAAAAACATAGAGAGAAAACAACGGGAATTATTATACAAATATAGGTTAAAAACATGAAGCAATAAAAATCATTAACACATGGTCCCCATAACTGTTTCTTAGTCGGTCATTCTGCACTTTGTGACAAAATTAGACATCTGTAAGACAAACAGCAGCACATGAGAACTAGACAAAAGTAAGAAAGACCTTGACTAGAGATAACCATTAATAAGGGAGAAGGGATGTTTATAATACAGTGAACTCTAAACTAGACATTTTGTGAGAAAGTCACTAAATGTCAATCAATTCGTTCTCTCTTGGAATGGGAGTGCAAAAAAAAAAAAAAAAAAAAGTACATTCATTTTCCAAGTGCAAGATCACTTTAAAGTGACAGTAAACTCAGGGGTTAAATCTTAAAAATACATTCAAGTACCTTAACTATTAACTACAAATGTATCTTATTTGTGTATCACTCGCTGTAGATCCTCAAATCATCTCTGAATTGGTGCTGACACTATCCTTCCTTCTGGAGGGTGACTACTTTGTTGCCCATGGTCCCCATGTGTGTTGTAATGTAGTCACCGCTCCAAGCTCACTCCCATGATGGACTACAATCTTGTTTTTAGTTTACTAATTTGTATTGAAGGTTTAATCCATCACAGGAACGAGCTTGGAGAGGTGACTACAATACAACACAGAGACCATGGGGAACAAAAGTTGCCCCCCTCCAGAAGGAAGGACAGTCCGGGACCAATTCAGAGATGATTAGAGGATCTACAGCTGAGTGATACACAAATAACGTACATTATTGTTAATAGTTCAGGTACTTGAATGCATTAAGGTTTAACTCCTGAGTTTAGTGTCACTTTAAAGAAGAACTTTGGCAATTATAAACCGTTCCGGCTGTTTGGTTTTGGGAATGAACTGATCTGCAGAATAGGAATCCTTTCCAGCTTCAGAAGCGTAAAATTGTTATATTAAAAGGGATACAAACTGTTCTGTCATTAGAAACTGAGCAATAATGCCATGCAATAGTTGGAGCCTTGCAAATCCTTGTGGAAAATTGTGCAACACCAACGCTCCTTAAAGGAGAACAATGTCTGTTCAACAATGTCTGTTCCCCATAGTTCTCCTTAGGGTAATGGGAGGACACAAACTAGCGTCCTCCCGTCACCCTAGGCTCAGTATACCGCGAGTTGTAGCTTGCGGTATACTGAGACGCCGCAGCTGAAGCGGATCCCGACAATTGTGCCGGGATCCGCCCAGCTGCGTGACTGACAGCTGGCTCTGCCTATCTAGAGGCAGAGCCAGCTATACCTGCACCCTCCCCCGTCCGTTCCGCCGGTCAGCGCTGGCTGATCGGAGCGGGGAATCCAGCCCCTCCCCTGTCACGGCAGAGAGCCGTGACAGGATCGAGAGGTGAGCGAAAAGTCAATACCTCCTGTTGTAAAGTAATCCTATAGTGAGAATATAGAAAGGCTGACATTGCTGTACTTTGGAAAATATTTACTCCTTGGCTATCATGCAGATGCACTGGCATCAGTACTTTCAAAGCCACTGATCTGGAATAAGTATGTCAGGAGTTCAAACTTCACTCCACCTTTCCTGAACTGCGTGCTTGGCAACCTACATATTTCAAAGTTCAAGTAAATTCTAACTGAATGACATTTCGTTTGCTAAAACATAGTGTATCAAACTGCAAAATGTTTCATAAATCTCGTTTCTCAACTTTTCCCCCCACCCTTTTCTACATTTAGTGCTGCTGATAAACTCCAGGTTCTTTCCACCACTTTCTGCCTAAAAGCATTTATTCCAGTTCCGGCTGCAAGTCATTGTTTCTGACCAGAATAGTGATAACAGCAGACAGTGCCTGCACAATGCAACTTAACATGGCCAATTGCAGTCTCAACCAGAGGTGCAAATAGCAGGGTGACAACACAGGAACACAATTGGGAGACTGTTGTCATCTTATAACAGCCCTCATGGCAGGATCGCTAGGTCATATATTTAACATTTACATCCTTGAAAAAGACTGGAGAACTCTTGAAATCACATTAACAGCTTTGAGATAACAGCATTATGAGGTTTAAGCGATTGGGTTTAGATCTGCTTAAGTAGATCTAGGGAAAAGGGTTTACGTTTTTGATAGTGAAGGGTTAGGCCCTCTGTCAAGTTTTTATTGTGGTCGATGTCCCCACTGGGGAGATTCACCCCGCTATTTGTACTGAATATCACTGTCACAGATAAAAAGTATGGGGAAATGTAAAGTTTTAATTGTCCCCAGAACAAGAGTTAAGATGTTCAGTGACCAACTGTCTAAGTCCCCTCACTTGAGATTTCCTCTTGTTGAGTCTTTGGGATTGGAAGTGGAGAAACTTCCCCAATGGTACACAGGCAGCAAAATAACTGGCAAGATAGATGTTCACTTTTCCCTATGCTATCCAAAACTAAAAAAAATCTTGAACTGTGAATAAGCTTTTAAAAGAGAAAACGCTGTCAAAAAAAAAAAAAAGGGAGAGGCGACAGGGTCACTTTAGGGTACACAGCTCAGTGTGAACTGTCTCCTCCAGATTATTATTGCAAAGAACACAAAAACCCATTTTTCAGAAAGATTACTCAGACTATCGACTGTGAAACATTTCTCCATTTATGAGACACACACATTCATATCTCTGGTAATGCAACTCTAAAACTGTAAGCATATAGATTGCAACACGATGCATTGAAAAACGAACGCACGTCAGTCACATTGTTGCCTTCAGGATAGGACCCAAAATCTTGGCTGTATGGCCTATGTGACAAATTGCTAATAAAGAAACCACATTTGCATCTTTAATAGAGTGCTAGTCACTTTCCCTCCTATTCTGTGGTTACTTGAAATAAGAAATGTTACTATTATTAGCAGCCATTCATACAGAACACCAAAGACATTTTAACCACTCGAAGACCGGGGTGTTCACACCCCCTTCCTGGCCAGGCCATTTTGCAGCGCTGCAGTACTTTGACATTTATTCCGTCACGCAACGCTGTACTGAAATTAATTTTGTACCATTTTTTGGGGACAGATAGAGCTTTCTTTTGGTGGTATTTAATCACCACTTCGGTTTTTAGTTTGTACTATATTAAAAAGGAAAAAAAGTTTTTTTTTACATTGTTAGGAAACAATTATTACCCACTTTTTTGGTAAAATATAAAAGACGGGGTCACGTCGGGTAAATAGAACCCAAACATGTCAAGCCTTAAAATTGCACACCCGCGAAAATCGCAAAAAACTACCACACTCAAAATTGACTATAGGCGACGCTTTAAAAGCTCTTTTGGAGGTATTTATTCACCACTATGTAATATACATCACTGCCGCATTCTGACACTGGAGAGGGGACCGGAGGGAGCGTGTACTGATCTCCCTCCCATCCCGTCATTGAGCCTGCATGCTGGTCCCGGGCTCGCACGGTTCGGCACCTTATGCAAGCAATCCGCTAGCACTATAGCCGCCAGATCGCTTGTATGTTAACAGGCATCGCTGCCCGTTTTTAAATCTGTGTCTCCTGCTGGTGCGAGTGGGCGGGGCTAACAGGCAGTGGTTTTTCTACAACGGCTGGGAGGCGGTTAAACGGTTCCAAGTTTTTCTAACAACTGTAGATGATTTTTTTTTTAACTGAATGAAAATGTAAAAAGTAGAAAACGTTGATACCACGTATAAAGATTCTAAGCAAAATTACGTGCCTACCATTCTTAAAGCGGTTTGGAAAGACAGTCAGTTAGATTTGGCACCTTTTGACTTTTGGATAAGAGAAGTACCTAAAGCAAACCTGTGCTTATATTAACATTACAAAACTGCCACTCACTATTGACAGCAGGAACCTTCCCATCCGATCAGGGGAGTGCCAACAAAAATCTTGACCAGCTCTTGACCCAACCCCTGCTGCTTCAATATAGGCCAGTGCGGCCAAACACTACAGTGATGACTCAAAAATAGAGACCAGTGATGCCAACTACCACAGTAATGACCCAAAAGTGGAGTGCAGGAGTTGGACTAGAACTTTTGATGATTTGCTTTTTTGCAACCTCCAGGGTTTGGGATTTCCAGGGCACTGTAGAAGAATGCAGAAAAGCTGTGTAGCCATCTGGCAAACATCAACATGACCACAAGTACAGCTTGCATGTCCTTTTCACTACTTTAAAGAAAAAAAACATTACTTAAGCAGCAGATTATTATTCAAGTTTAATGGTTCCCCCGACATGAAGTAAATATAACAGTAGTATACTAGTGAGCATTCTCTTTGATATCCGTTTTATTTTAAACAGTAACATTAGAGTGATGTACTGAATACAATGATTTGTCTTTTATGCAGTAGTTATAGGTAGAAGAATATTCTATTACTCATCATGTGCACTATGGATGTTTACACTGATATAACAATAATAAATAATACAACATAAGTAGCTGCATTGAGCCATATATACTTTTAGCTATAGATTTACTATATGTCCACATTAAAGATAAGTTTGGTGTGCTCCGTGTCTTTTTGTAACATTCTAATGTTACAATACTAAGCCTAAAATATGTAAAGGCTCTATAGCAATTGAATTATTGGTAACAGAATACATGTATTTCACTTAAACAATTTAGTCCATGCACTTTCAGCCTAACAGGATGTCCCAGTTGTTTTAGGTATTTTTACCATCATCAAATAAGGACTACAAGTGTTTTACCAAAGATAACAGTTTTATCACATTTAGACCTGCTGCATGTATATTTTAAATAAATATATAACAAGCCTTCATAAGGAACAGTTGGTCTAAAGTGAACTCTAAAAACAGTGCAATGTATATTCATTGATAATGAGTGGCCAGCATCAATGGCCGTTCATTATTTTATGAGAATTGTTGAAGTATTTTTCTTTCAGCTTCCTGAATTCCGGCAGGTCCAGCTGTTTTGTGGCTTCTTCAATATCACTGTGAATTGCGGTAATAAGGGCATCTGTTGAAAACAAGATGTTTAGGTAAATAAATAAAAATTCCATGCATTAGTGAGACATTGAGGCGGACTTACTATACGGATGTATTCTACCGCTAACAGACTATACAAACTGTTCTCCTTGAACTACTCTAGTACTCTACAGTTGACAATAGACTATATGTCTAACCTACTGCATTGATTTGTGAAAGTGGACAATTTGTGCAGGCTCTTATGTAGCAAACTGTTCTCCTGTGTGCTGCTTTGGTTGCTCCCAGCCCATAGAGGCTATGTTCACACCTGGGCGATTTATCATGCAAAACACAGGATTCGCATTGCAGTCAATGAAGGCTGTTCACACCTTTGCGGTTTGTCGCGCAAAAAAGGTGCAGGAGCTATTTTTGGGCGGTAGTCTCGCGGTTTGGGTCTCATAGACATGCTCTATGCATTGAAAACCGCACAGTTTTGTAAGAACAGTTGTGCCAACGAAAAACACGCGACAGCAGTTCACCAGCTTAATTGCCCAGGTGTGAACCTAGCCTCAAACTGTGCCCATGGGCAGTGTGCTTAGTAGTGCACACTCTTTCCCCTCTAGCAGCAGAGGCTTATCTGTGTTGTCGATGCTCGGAGAGAGAAAGCACTGCACATCAGCAGATTCTAAACGGGCCGGAAGCAGCTGCTTTAGCCATGACAGAGGGGGTAGGGCGCTAGGTTGACCACCCCAAAAGGTTTTGCAGACCAGTCATGCAGGACCGGCAGTTATGCAATGGGAAAGGGGCAACTTTTTAACATCTGGCAACAAGATGCTGCAAGTGATGGAAAGCATGGGGGATTTTCTTTTGGAAAATGTGCAGAACTGACCCTTTAAAGACCAACAAAACCTTCAGTTTAATTCAACTTGTTGGCATGCTACAGAAAAGGACCTTTTCTTTATTTGTGGAAGCAGTGGTCACTCAGCAGAAATTAATTGTTAGTTAGCAGGGAGTGTGAGCTTTTTAACAGTTTTAGTGGGTGTAAATCATTTTCTGAATAAAATATTAAAGCGTTTATTTTTGAAAGTCATTAAAAAAAAAAAAAAAAGGAAGAGGAGCATTGTATATTAGTACTACAGATGGTAATCGAACCTGTATTGATGCCTTATGTAACCAGCAGGTGCAAATTCGGTAAGAAAAGTACAAAATAGGAAACACATCTTTGTTAATGTGTAATGCTTACCAGTGTGAATAAAATAATAACACAACTGCTAAAGTGTTTAATCCTTGGTTCCTAAGTATACCTGTCCTCATGTTCAAATTAGTCAGTTTGTGCCTTGGGAGGACACTGAATTGTAGGCCAAGAAAAAAAAAAAAAAATTATTATAGGTTCCAGCTGCAACCCTGGTAGTTCTCATGAAAATGCCAAGTATCGGCACTGGTATCTGAACATCCCTAATTGCTGTATAATGTATTGCTGGGATTTGAAGTCATCGATAGCTGGTGGTATTCTGCATTGCTGTATAATGTATTCCTGGGATTTGCAGTCCTCAATAGCTTGTGCCATTCTGCATTGCAGTATAATGTATTCCTGGGGTTTGCAGTCTATAGCTGGTGCAATTCTGCATTGCTGTATAATGTGTTCCTGGGATTTGTAATCCTCTGTAGCTGATGGTATTCTGCATTGCTGTGTAATGTATCGCTGAGATTTTCAGTCCTTCTACAGCTTGGAGTTAGTGGCAGAACTACCAGGGTTGCAGAGGTCACATCTGCGACTGGGCCCTGGCGCTTCACCACTTTTCTAAAATCATTAGTCTGTATTGTTTAAGAAAAACGGTCACATGACACACACAAAAAAAAAAAAAAATCGGTATTGGCAAGGACTTGAGGAAAAAGTATCGGTACTCGAACTCAGGCTTGAAAATATGGCATCGTGGTGCATCCCTAGTTTACACGTTTTGGTGTGCTTACTGGGTTCATACCAACTTTTATGTAGACACATAAATGGGTTTACTTTCCATGAAAAGAAAACTAAGCATATAGACAGTCATATGGATTAGGTGTACGTCCCAGATACTCACCTAAAGAGGTAAAACTTTTTTCTGGCCTGATGTAGCCTACAATAACTATGCTAAGTATTTCACCATAGAAGTCGTCATCAAATTGATGAATTATATGAGTTTCCTGAAATATAACAAAAATGAACAATGACATTACTTCAGTACTTCAGAAAATGCGGTAAATACACGTCCTACCTCTTGCAAACTAGACAAACCATGGCAGCTAAATAACAGCATAGCAAAAGTTACCAGGCTGCCTAAGCCCTGACCTGGTAAATTGCATGTGGTATAATAATTTCTTACCAATGAAAAAGAAATCCCCAATAAAACAGGCACAAGATAAAAATATAGATTGTGAACTGGCACACTTCTATAACTGAATCGAAGGACTGGACAAATACCGCAACAAAGCATCCAATCAACCTTATGGGAAACCCATCATAAGAGAAATATGTAGGCCATTCGAGGGGCTCTACTGAAAATGCCAGCTGCTTGGCTATCATGCTGATCCACTTGCTTCAGTAGATTCTAAATAACTTGTGTGGAACAAATATGCAAATCAGCTGTTTAGTGTCAACGGCTGCATGCAGAGTATTAAAGCCAGGCAGAGAACTAACATTCTATATAAAAATACATAATCTATACAGCAAAGCTTCATTTTTGGAAGTCATTTCCACTGCTGACCATCTTCTGTCTCCTAAAGAGTTCCTGTTGCCTTTGTACATTTATATAGCTCCGCAGATATAGGCACACTTTTTTTTTTTCTTCACCGTCATTGGAGAAATCTCTATACCAGGAAACGTGGCACAGGTTATTACTATACAGGGTTTAAGTAGCTCCAACAGCTTTCACAGCACTTTGCAAAGGGAGACAATTCAAGAGGGTTAGGATGGCCCTGAACATGAGAGCTTACAATCTAAAAGGGCAAGTGATATAAAATGTATCATTACCAGTATTACATTCTAATGTATAAAGAAATGGGATAACATCTATTTTAATAGATTATATATTTTTTGTAGCGATTATTTGTTTTGGTCACGGTTACTCATTCTGCAATTGTCTGTAGCGCAATTTATCCCCGTATTCTACAGAAGAGAAAACGAAGCCCATGAGCTACAAAACTCTGTAGCAGCCCATTGGCCAGCGGCCGCCAAGAGTGGGCGGGAGTGAATTTGACAAGGCTGCAAATATAGGCACACTTTTATAGCTAGAAATATTAATGGCTTCTTGTTTGTGCATTTTGTATTTTCTGTGCTTTAATACATAGCTACAATACAAAACCGAACATTGATGAAAAATGTTCCCTGACAAAAGAGGATTTTCTTCTAAAAGTGTGGGAAGAAAGAGGATATGTTACCATCAGAGAAACATGCAATGGAGGACAGAATTTTTAATCTCACTGGCTACAATTGGGTAGCAAGTAGCTGGTATGGGAGGAGAGCAAGTGCTGAGGATGTAAACAAGGAGTAGATATGGAAAAGAGGAGAAGGTGTGCTTACCCAGTCCAGCAGGAGAGAACTCCGGAAGAGCTTATAGCACAGCTTCCGATTTCAGGTCACCAAGGGTAGTGTTACCTCACTACAAGTAGTTAGAAGCTCACTAAATTTCTGGCAGGATCATTATATTAATTTGTTAAATCCCATACATTTTGCACAAAATATAATCAACAAAGTCCACCGATTAATATGATATTTATGTATAACCTTTTTTGTTTAATTACACAATTGTTTTTCATGGGAGGTCTGAATATTGTCAGAGGAGGGCACATTCACACCTCCTGTGAAGCAGCAAATTACTTCTAATAGTGATCAACTGCTGGCTACAATCAGCCAGCAATAAATCACTGTAGTAGAGATCTGTTGCTGCAGCAAGGTGCTGAACAGAGCTGTAATAGCTCTGCCCCAGCCTCCTTACTCAGATGAAGTGCTATGAAGTCAATCTTGATGTCAGCACAGTCCCAATGTAACCAGTATGCAAAAGCATTCTGTTTACATTCACTTCTACAGTGGGCTCCACTGCGAGCATCGGAAGAGACTATCGGCCCCAGGGACTAGTGCTAGGCCCTGGTTGTCGGAGACCGCCAACAGTCCCAGCACTTGAGTCAGCAGGGGCCCACAGGAGCCACTGAAGATGGCTTCCATTTTAAAATGACATCTGGGACTTGTGTGGTTAATCTATACAAGATAACACTTTCATGTCATCAGATGGAGAATGTAGTCTGTGGGTCCAGAGAATTTAACTTGCAAAAGAGGCTTCCAAGACAGGTGCTTTGCACAGATTCTCTTTACAATAATTCATGACAATTTGATTGGAAAAAGTGGTTGAGAAAATGGTTCTTACCACAGATTTTTTAGTATTCTTGTAGAATGGATTCCAGCCAATACTCATCACCATTTTGTAGATCTCCCCATCACCAACACAGCCCCATCCATAGTAGATTCCAGTATTCAAGTCAGCAGGAAGATTCTCCACAACATGCTCAGGGAAATTAGCTGCAATTGAAGAAAAAAATGTTTTATTGTTCACGGTAATCTAGAATGGTAGCTAAATAGAAAGACACAATTAAAGGCCTTGTATTGAATCAGACTTAATACAGTGCAATTTCAGAAAATAATTCTGTATAAAATGAATTTGTCTATTGTGGTTTTATACTTCTAGCACACTTAATTTGTTATGTCATTCTTCGAAGGCTGATGCAGCCAGAACCAGAAAAAAACGCCGTGCCCACATAATCGGCATCATGTAGAGCAGAGGTTGAGGGCACAATAGTATAGAAAGGCTAGGACCTGGACTGAACGCTGGCAATAAAATTAGATCCTCCTTTGAAAACACTATTCTGACTTTTCCTTAGACCTAAACTCTGTAATCTCAAATACAAAATTTAAAGGGCAACTGTAGCTTTGGTACAAGTTGTCCTTCAAGTCATGGCCCCATCCGCAGTATAATACCTTCTCTCTTCGATTCCAGTGATCTTCACTGCACAGCCCCACATAGCCTTTCCTTCAAACGCATACCCTCTGGATCCTCTCTCATTCTGCACATTGCAGACCAAGCAACCATTTATTTATATGAGGATAAATCATTTTATAGAATCCTCCAGCAGTCCTGCAAAATATGGCTCTCCCAACAGGAAAGGATTGGGCCATGACGCACATGCACAGGATGAAGCAGACCTGGCAAGGACACTTTCAGAAGATAGGCTGTGTGGCTCTGTGCAGGGCCACATAGTAAAGATTGCTGAAATGCAGATTAAGCCAAGTATTGGACCAGTTGGACATACCTTATGGGACAACACAAGCCAAAAGGTACAGTTGTCCTTTAAAAGGAAACATGTTTGATGCACCAAGGACTGTAATCTACAGAAGAACCCATTAAATCAAAGTTATGTGCCCACCTTTAATTTTTATTTTATCCGCATTGTGGCTACATCTCCTCTAATCTCACCTTTCATTTATAAAGCAAACTAACTAATCAGGCCTCTTATTTGCTTATTGCTTGTGACAGTGTGTTGTGCAACATGCAATCTGTACAGAACAAGTAGTACAAGTACAGAATTTCCATGATGCAAGAGTAGGAGTTTCAGAGCTTATAATGCTTTCATTCATAGACAAGAGGAAGGATAGACACCAAACCTATCTGAGGTGGTCATATTTTAGTAATTACATGTGTGTCTGCAGTCTGGTGTGACATTTCTAAGTATATGATCCAACTAATAAATCACACCACTTAGGGCCCATCTCCGGATACAAAAAAAACTCTCCTTGCAGTGGGGCTACCTGCTCATTTATGTCTCGGGGGATTTTTTTTAAAAGCAGGTTTACTTTCCAGATTCCCTCTCCCGCTGACTCCAAGATGCCGAGGGACAGTCCACCAGCCGAAGCAAAGAGAGAGGTGAGCGCTGACTGTCTAGGAATCAGGGAAGTAAAAGTCCTTTACATCATACACCAAGCAGTTCACCCTTACAGTGCAGGGATAGCACCACTGCAAGGAGAGGCTTCTTGCATCAAGAGATTGGGTTTAAGAATAAAGTAGCAGTAACAAATTAGAATATTCATTTTCTCTCCCTTTAAAGTGACACTAAACTCAGGAGTTAAATCTTACATTTTTGTTATTAGTTAAAAGGTACTTGAATATATTTTCTATCTTATTTGTGTATCACTCGGCTGTAGATCCTCAAATCATCTCTGAATTGGTGCTGACACTGTCCTTCCTTCTGGAGGATGGCTGCTTTTGTTCCCCCTGGTCCCTGTGTGTGTTGTAATGTAGCCACAGCTCCAAGCTCACTCCTGTGATGGACTACAATCTCACATTTAGTTTGCTCATTTGTATTGAGATTGTAGTCCATCACTTGAATGAGCTTGGAGCGGTGACTACTTTACAACACACACAGGCACCATGGGGAACAAAAGTAGCCACTCTCCAAAAGGAAGGACATTGTCAGCACCAATTCAGAGATGATTAGAGTGTCTACAGATGAGTGATGCACACATAAGATACATTTTGTTAATAGGCAAGGTACTTGAATGTATTTGTAAGATTTAAAAGGTGCCCATACACTTTACAACCATCGCAAGACCCAAGCACCGTTCTAACCAGCCGAAAATCGTACGATTTTCGGCTGGTTTTCTAGCGTGCTCCTTAGACAAAAGACGTGTGACCGTACAGTAGAAACGGTTGCACGTCTTCGTTCACACTGATCGATTCCCGTATGATCGCGGGATTTCCCACGATTCTCGTACGAGAATCGAGTAGTGTATGCGCACCTTAACTCCGGAGTTTAGAGTCACTTTAAGGAAAGTGGGAGTGCACAGCATTATTTAAATAAGGTTTAGCCAACAGCAGTCATACATGATTGGTTGTCATGGCTCACATCCAGATTAGTTCTCATACTAATTTCAATGTGAATGGTTCTACTACATAAAAATAGCCCGGTACATAAAATAAATTCACACCTCTCCTGTATGGTGTATTACGTGCACTACAATGTTGCCATGCCATTCAATGTCAATGGCATCCCAATGCATTAACTAAACACATATATTACTCTGCGTTGTTCTGCAATCAGTAAAAATAGTTTGTGTCCGATTTTTTAGTTGTTGCCCATTTAGTTTTGTTGGCATCCCAATCATCTTAAAGTAACACACTGAAAGAGGTCTGAATACAGCCTAAAGCGCCTCTTTACACCTGACCATAGTGGTGCTCTGTGGTACCACAACGCGTTAGTGTTATTTATTTTTTATTGGCACCCCAATGCACTAAGAGCCCATTCATGCCTTGGTGTCCCTGTGCATTGCATTAAAGGAGAACTATGGGGTGATGTTTCTTTTCCCCATAGTTCGCTTTTGGTTTACGGGAGGACATGTACTATGTGACCCAAAACTCAGCATATTGCCCGCTATATGCTGAGAGCACCGCAGCTGGGACGGATACCGACAATACTGTTGAGATCCACCCAGCAGGCTTATTGACAGCCAGTTATGCCCACCCCCTCCCCTGTCCACCCCTCCAATCAGCGCTGGAGGATCAGAGAGGCATCTCTCTGGGGAGCGGTGACTGACAGTCACCGCTCTCTGCAGGGAGATGATCAGCAAGGGAGCGGATCGTCGGCTGCATGTTTTCACTAAATTCCCGTTCTATAGAGCCGACATGTGACAGTTTCAATGTCACATGCCCGCTCTAACTAGGGGGATGAGTGTAATTCACTCACCCCATAGTTCTCCTGTAAGGCAGCCTATCCAAAAGAGTGGGATGGCAACGCACCCTAATGTCCAAAAAATCATGGACATGCATTTTATGTAGCACAACAACATGCAGTAGTTGGGCTGTGTTATGGTGCACTGCAAAGCTATGGTTCTGGAGCGGTGTTGGGATGCCATTTAAAATAAATGACCCCACAACGCACTGATACATCCACTGCAAAGGCGTGAATAGCAAAGCATACGTGTTACAGTGAACCATAGTAAGCAGTAGTCTTATTGTGGCGCTCTACAACATAGGCTGGAGCATAGCAGTGGTGGCATTCTAATTGAATGAGAACAGTGGCATGCTGCACTGGAAGTACCTTGTACTAGACTCCCCCATGCCACCCTTAAAGAAGCAGCCAGTAACCCCGTCCTCGACTCCCCCATGCCACCCATAAAGGAGCAGCCAGTAACCCCGTCATCAACTTCCCCATTCCACCCTTAAAGGAGCAGTCAGTAACCCCGTCCTCGACTCCCCCATTCCACCCTTATAGGAGCAGTCAGTACACCGTCCTCAACTCCCCCATGCCACCCTTATAGGAGCAGTCAGTACCCCGTCCTCAACTCCCCATGCCACCCTTATAGGAGCAGTCAGTACCCCGTCCTCAACTCCCCCATGCCACCCTTATAGGAGCAGCCAGTAAACCCGGTCGTCGACTGCCCTATTCCACCCTTAAAAGTAGTTAGTACCATGTCCTCGACTCACCTGTGGGGATCCCCAGCTCCTTGGACCCTCTGCCGAACCCTTTCACCACTTCCCCGCTACAGTAATAGGGCAGCGCGCTCATGACGCAGCCACAAGCCACCTTCTTCTTGGCAGGCTCCACAGGAGCGATGTCTCGAATCACTTCCACAGGGTGACCCCCCAGAGAGCGCAGCCCGTCCGTAGAGGGCACCGGTCGAGCCAGTGATGCTGCCACTCCACCTGCTGCCGAGCCGGAGCCGAGCCGGCTACTACACGCTCGTCTTTGGGACATCTCAAGGCCGGGTGCAACACGGGGGTGTTTACAAACACAAGACGTATACGGAGGAGGTGACGCCGCAAGACGATTCCAGATTCCCCCTGTTATTGGCTGCCAGTGCTGTGATCTTGAGGACATACGTCAGCACTCCGTAGGCGGTGCTTCCCTTTCACACAGTTTTACACAGACCTTTGCTCTCGCTGCTGTCACGGTGACCAGCTCCTTGATGCGTTTAATCACGTGATCGCCTCACGTCCAGTGGAATTCTGGGACACGGTGACGTCAGGAGGAAGGCTTCCGTAGAACGCTTATGCAATACTGGGAGTTTCCGGTGCAAGTGACTCCGTCTTAAAGGCGCGGTTGCTCTGTAATTACAGCAAGAACAGATTTGTGATTGGAAACGGTTCCTTTTTTTTTATTATTATTTCGGTTCCATAATTGTGTTATACAACCTGTCTAGTGCTTAATCTTTTTATGTTATGGCCATTGTACAAGGTCATATTATAGAATAGTGCTTTTTACAGCATGTTAGTCAGAAAAAAACCCTATGACCTAATTGCTTCTACTGCTCAGATTAAAAACAGGTTTGTGTTGCAGAAGGCGTACTGCCCCGCCAAGACACATGAGAAAAGTGTCCTCCCTTATGGAAACCACCGTGCCCAAGGAAAAAATATGTGCAGACAGTATTTTAACCACTTCCTGTCTGGATAGCTGTAAAAAAAAAAAAAAGAAGTCAAGCAACTGGACTTGCTGTATTTTTCTTGAAGATGTTTCACTGGTCATCAAACCAGCTTTTTCAATTCAGAATGACTTGTGCAAAATATTCTCCGGGAACAAATATGGTGAAAGTTGCTCCAATCCACATAATCTGTTAGTGACAACCAGGTGTTGATTGCATTTGCAGAATTGGAGCTAGGAGGTGTTAATAGCCTGCCCAGAGAGAGGTGTTAAAACAGCATTGTATGTGGCAGACAATAGATGTATGTTTTACCTGATAAAGGGGATCCTTTGTGACCCCGAAACGTTCGTTGTTTTTTACCACGATGCACGTCAATAAATAGACGTATTTTGCAAATTTGGAGAGCCGGTGTCTCTGCTTTAGCAGACAATAGATGTCTCACCCTCCCACCTCTATTCAAGCTTGGCTTCTCCATTTTTACACAAATGGCCTCTTTCACACCTCTTTTAAACCAGTCCTACTCCCTGTCTAGGATGCGTACTTGACTGTCTTCAATGTAGTGACCTCCTTCCTTTAGATGTAGGTATACTACTGAATCCAGACCAGAGGGTTTGGCTCTTCTATGCTGTGCCATACGCTGGTGTAGCTGCTGTTTTGTTTCACCGATATACAATTCTGAGCACTCCTCACTGCACTGGACTACATACACAATGTTGTTCATCTTGTGTTTTGGCTTTGGGTCTTTTGGGTGAACCAGTTGTTGCCTCAGTATTGCTGGGTTTAAAGCAGGCAGGGATGTGATGTTTTTTAAAAACCCTTCTAAGTTTCTCAGACACCCCAGCTACATATGGGATGATGACATTCTTCCGTTTGTCATGCTTTCCACCCTCACTGCTACTCTCGGCATTCTTCCTCTTCTTTCTGTTTTGACAAAAGCCCAGTCTGGATACCCGCCAGTTTTAAGTGCCCCCCTGAGGTGTTTAAATTCCTTCATCTTGGCCTCTGTTCTGGTGGGAATTTTCTCTGCCTGGTGGTGTAGAGTCCTGATGACTCCCAGTTTGTGGTCTAGAGCAGTGGTTCTCAACCTTTCTAGGGCCGGGACCCCTTGGTAACATTTGCCAAGTTGTGGTGACCCCCAACGGTAAAATTTAGGGATGACATCTGGCGGCATTGCGGGAGAACTGACACTGCTGTGCTAGGAGAGGGCTGAGGAGGACTCTCACCTAGCACAAAAGAAATCACACAGCGACCCACTGGCGTACGCCGTCGGATTGGCAGCAGCAGAGGGCGGGTGCTATAGGTAGTTTTCTATTGGCTATTGCAAAGTGAAATAGCCAATAGTAATCTAGCTATGCATTCCTATGGTGTTTTTTTTCCAGACTGACGGCGGCCTGCGGCCCCCGATGTCAGAAAAAATAAAACAGAGCAGAGAAAGGTTTACTCTAAAAGTAAAGTAAACCTTTCCGGGAGAAAGTGTTTCTCTCGCGGGCGGCCAGGTGCCGCTAGGCGACCCCTGGCAAATCGTCATTCGACCCCCGACGGGGTCGCGACCCACAGGTTGAGAACCGCTGGTCTAGAGGGTGGTGGGAGTCAAATAGCAGTTATTGGTCCGTGTGTGTTGGTTTTCGGTAGACCTCCTGTCTGGAGCAATTTCTCTAAAATCTGAACTTTTGGCTAGAAAACGGCTTCCAACCACCAAACAATGATATATTTTCTGAAATAAAATATATATGTACAATATAAGAAAATGGCAGTTGCCATTATTTTATGTCACATGATATTTCCACAAATGTTTATCAAATCAGTATTTTTAGGATAAAATACACTAAAATGAAATCTAGTGCACAGAAACAGAATAGAATACCCAATTTGTTGGTGAAATCTTAAAGATGCGGTCACGCTGGGTAAATTGATACCAAATATGTCAAGCCTTAAAATTGCACACACCCATGAAATTGCAAAAACTTCAATGCCCAAAATATTCTATAGGCAACGATTTAACCCCTTCGTGACCCATGACGGGATAATCCTGGCACGGGGTACGGCTGAGCCATGAGTAGAACCCACTGGCAGTAATGGGCAAGGAGGTCCGAAATCGAAGTACAAGAGGGAAATTCAAAAGCTTAATCAAGTCCAGTCCGGGTCGAGGCAGGCGGCTAAGTTAAAAAAAACGAAAAGGCAGGTCAAAGGGTCAGTAACCGGGAATTCTGATAAGGGGTCAGGAATGGCAGCAGTTTCCAACACAAGAGGCTAGGTGATTGCACCATATAGGTAGAATAACTCAGCAGCAAGCCAGAGCTCTGACTGGAATTTATACCCAGTGGGACCCAGGACCATCCCCTGGTTGCCGAGACAACAAAGAGGCTTCTCTATCCAGGAGCCAATGACATGAGGGAAAGGGCAGAAGGTGTATGCTGGGAACCTCCCCCAGCAAAGCCCACACCTGACTGCACTAATGGGCGCAGGCGTCCCCTACGCGCTCGCGCACGCAGTCTGTCTGCCACGCACGCACCCGCAACTCTGGCGCCAGGAAGGAGACCCTGTGCCCTATGCTGTATCCGGCGACCCTGGTAAGGGGTGGCACCCCTGGTTCCCTGATAAATCCCGTCATTAATTCTGAAGGAGTCAAACAGACTCGCCGGGACTCTGCTCAGATTTGTAGAGCCGGCGGCAGGCTTTACAGTAGAAGCGATTCTGGCGGCTCAGCTGCTGCCAGATCCAGTAAACAGGCTTCCCCACCGCCTGACACCCCCGCCGTATTTTCCGGGCTCCGCTGCCCCTCCTACGGGACCGGCTTGCCGGGTGTCGGTGGAAAGCTGAGGAGGAGAGTGGTGAATGTCCATTTACCGATTTCCTCCCCATGCAATGGGACCTGAAGCGAGGCGTATTGCATCACTTCCGGTCGCATAGCTGTCATTGCTGGGCTCCTTAAGCCCATTAATAAGCTACTGAAGTGCGACCTGCACTTCAATAGCTTATTTAGAGTTTAAAGGTGACACTAGGGGTCTTTTGGACCCCCAGTATCACCTTAAGGAGGACCTGTCACCACCAATATGCTATCACGTGGGGGACTTGTAAGCCCAGCTATGTGATAACAATTAAAGTTAAAAAAGTTTTAAAAATAATATTAAATAAATGAATTGTAAAAATTAAAGGACCCACGACCACGCGCGTTGTCACATAAACACGTGTCGGGTGCGCCTACGTACGAAAATGACGATTGTGCTACACATGTTGGATATGGCCACGCACGCTGGAGTGAGAGCAATAATCCTAGGGCCCATATTCACACGTATTTCTAAACTGATGACCTGTAGGGGCTTTTAAAGCGTTATCTATGGACTTTTTGGGGTACTGAATTCTGTTGCAGTTTCATGGATGCACACAATTATTAACCTGGGCACATTGGGTATCTATTTACTTGTTGTAACCTCATCTTTTATATTTAAAAAAAAAAAAAGGGTATTATATTTTGCTTTGGGGCACTAAATTTACCTGTAAGTGCATTTTTAAAAAAAATTTTGGGTTTGATAATAAATTGCGGTAATATCGTGCAACATATAAATTTGCCACCATTTTATTCTACAGGGTCTTGGCTTTCAGAAAATATATAATGTTTGGTGGTTTTAAGTAATTTTCAGGCCTAAAATGTGGAATATAAGATGTAAATGAAAAATAGGACTTGGTCCTTAAGGGGTAAAAGCTTTGATCCCTCAAGAATTTAATGTTTACAGTGATTGATGGCCCTAGAATTAATGCTCTAACTCCAACGTTCGTGGTGATATGTAATGTGTGTGGCGTAATCATCCTTTTTCCACGTAAGTGTGTTTGCGTTCGTATGTGGACTTTAACTTTTTTGTAATTTTTTTTATATTTGACTTTTTTTCATCTTTTTTTACCCTTAAGTATAATTAAACCCTCTGTTTTTTTTTGCATATACAGTATCTACTGCTATGTCTCCCGTCCGAAGATCTGAAAGGATCATGGGGCGGGCACATGCGCAGTACAGATCTTGGGCTGGATGAAGAGGAGAGACACAAGGTAAGTCTATGCAGGCTGGCTGGCAGCGTGGATCCGCACAGACACCATGGGACACAGAAGACACTACAGTCAGCGCTGAATCATAGACCGGCACCAGCACTGGAGGGATTGCTGAAAACTACTGGAAAGAAAAAGATGATCGGATCAAGAGGCATCATTGAAGGTAAGTCCTTACACCAGCATTGGGGGGCGGGGGGGATTAGACTTTAACTTTATTGATATCACATAGGGGGATAAAAATCCCCCTATGTAATAGCAAAGAGGATGTGACAGGAGCTCTTTATGAAGACATCAGGGGTCTGTCAGACCCCTAATGCCACCTATAGACCCAAAAGAAGCTGATGAACCCGAGATCTGCTTCATCAGCTTCTGCAGCTACAGTAGCAAGAGCATTGAAGACTGAAACCGGGATTGATTTAATAAGCGTTGCTTCCACTTTCAGTGATCGGATGGGAGATCAACCACTGAAAGTGTGCTGATCTCCCTCC